CTGGACGCCGCCCTGCGTTACCCTCCAGACTGTGTCCGGTGAGAAGATCGACATCGACGGAAAAGTAAATGTTAACATCACGTTTGGAAGTGCCGCTTACCATCACACACGGCATATGTAGCAGAAATCACTGATTTCTTGCATACTCGGATTGGACTTTCTAAGGAAATACAATTTTTCCTTTCCTTGGACTTTAAAAATAACGAATTGCATTCTGAACATCTATTTGAGGACATCTAGCCCTATTTATTTCTCGTTAATGATGAAGATTTAGTTATTAATCTGTCCATAGCCCTATTTGGAATCATAGCACAAGAGTTTAATATTAGCCACAATACCGGCAAGAACAGAAATTTTACTTCCTGGATCCATAGCCGAAAATAGAAATTTCCGCTACGGCATCATAGAATATCCCAATAACTGTAATATCCCAAAAGGAGTATTAGTAGCCTCAACACTCGTCGACCTATCCAGGAACGGTTATCCCGGTGAGAGTCGCCAATGTAACTGAAAAGTCGAGAGTTATTAAGAAAGGTGAAGTGGTTGCAACATGTACTCCAGTAACCAGCGTTGAAAAAAAAAGTAACATCCCAGAATCCGTGTCCTCAGAGAGCATTACATCGGAGTTATTGCAGAATGCACAATTAAACAATAAAGAGAAAAATGCTGCCGATCGCGTCATTAAAGATCTTCAAGTTGTTTTCTCCCGCTCGTCTTCTGACGTGGGTCAAACTAGTTTGACACAACATAGAATGGATACTGGCGATCATCCCCCGATCAAGCAACATCCAAGACGTCTACCGTTTGCTAAACAGGAAGAGGTGCGAACACTGTTAAAAGATATGGAAGAAGGCGATGTCATCGAGCCTTCAGCGAGTCCATGGGCATCTCCCATCGTTCTCGTCAGAAAGAAAGACGGCTCAACAAGATTTTGCGTTGACTATCACCGGTTGAATGAGGTTACGAAGAAAGACAGTTACCCTCTTCCTAGAATTGATGACATTCTAGACACTCTTTCTGGAAGCAAGTGGTTCTCAACACTTGATTTAAAGAGTGGGTATTGGCAGGTAGAAATCCATCCTGATGACCGAGAAAAGACGGCATTTACTACGGGACAAGGACTTTGGCAGTTCAAAGTGATGCCGTTTGGACTGTGTAATGCGCCGGCAACATTCGAACGTCTTATGGAGACTGTTTTGAAAGGCCTTTCGTACGAAGCCTGTCTGATATACCTGGACGATATCATCATCGTCGGAAAGAGTTTTGAAGAGCATCTAGAAAATCTTAGAAAGGTGCTTCAGAAACTGAAAGAGGCCAATCTGAAGCTGACTCCCGCTAAATGCAAATTGTTTCGAAAGGAAGTGACTTACCTGGGACATGTCATCTCTGCAGAAGGTGTGCGCACGGATCCTGAAAAGGTATCAGCGGTTAAATCCTGGAACGCGTCCCGAAAATGTCCATCAGCTGAGAAGCTTCCTAGGGCTTTGCACCTACTATAGGAGATTCGTGAAGAACTTTTCTTCCATCGCAAGACCACTTCACAAGCTGACAGAGAGCAAGCAAAGATTCTTGTGGACAAAGGAATGCGAGGATGCATTTAACAACTTAAAGGAAGCTTTAACATCTGCTCCAATCCTGACGTATCCTCAGCTCGACAGACCATTTATTCTCGACACCGACGCGAGCAATGAAAGTGTCGGTGCTGTTTTGTCCCAAGAAATAGACGGCCAAGAACGTGTAGTAGCTTACTGGAGCAAGTGCCTGTCTAAACCGGAGAGGAATTACTGTGTCACAAGGAAAGAGTTGCTCGCCATAGTCAAAGCTGTAGAACATTTCCATCATTATCTATACGGGAGAAAATTCCTCCTCCGCACGGACCATGCATGCCTCATTGGCGTGGCTTTTAAATTTCAAAAATCCTGAGGGTCAAATAGCCAGGTGGATACAGAGACTCCAAGAATATGACATCACTATCCGTCATCGTAAGGGATCATCACACGGAAACGCCGACGCCCTGTCTAGAAGACCTTGCCAAGAAAACTGCCGATATTGTTCCAGGGTGGAAGCGAAATACGAACTGCTGACTCCGGTCGCAAGACAAATTACAACATCAACATCGGCTGCTCGAGACCCGTGGAGTGATGATGAAGTCAGGAAAGACCAGCTGGAAGACCGCGACATTAAACCCATACTTGATTTAATAGAGTCATCAAACAGAAAACCTACATGGCAGGACATTTCTATCTGTAGTCCTACAACAAAACAATACTGGGCACTCTGGGATTCACTTCACATTCGAAACGGCGTCTTATACCGGAAATTCGAGTCGGATGATGGGAAGACGTTCCGATGGCAACTGATACTTCCGAGATCCCGGATTCCTGATGTCCTCAAAGAACTACATAACAGCCCTACAGGAGGTCACTTTGGAATTATGAAGACCTTACAGAGAGTTCGTGAGCGCTTTTACTGGAATAATGCAAAGAATGACGTGCAAAAGTGGTGCCGATCTTGCGATGCCTGTGCAGGTCGGAAAGGACCGAGGAAACGCAGCCGAGGCAGACTGCAACGTTACAACGTAGGTGCGCCTTTTGAACGTATCGCCTTTGACATCCTGGGACCTCTGCCACGAACTGCTGATGGCAACAAATACATACTCGTTGTCATTGATTACTTCACCAAGTGGCCTGAAGCTTATCCTATTCCTGATCAAGAGGCAGTCACAGTAGCTGAGGTAATGATACAGCACTGGATTTCCAGGTTCGGAGTGCCTCTTCAGTTACATTCCGATCAGGGAAGGAATTTTGCCTCGGCAGTAATCAAAGAACTATGCAAACTACTTGGCATTGACAAAACTCAAACGACGCCATTGCATCCCCAGTCGGACGGCATGGTAGAGAGGTTCAAACGAACCATCCTTAATAACCTCTCATTAGTGGTTTCCAGAAACCAACAGGACTGGGACAAGAAATTACCACTCTTTTTACTGGCTTACCGCAGTGCTGTCCACGAGACTACCGGCTATTCTCCATCACAGATGCTCTTCGGTCTTGACCTTCGTCTGCCTTGTGATCTATTGTTTGGCCGCCCTCCGGATGCTCCTTCATCGTCCGAGGAATATATTCAAGATCTCCAGGCCCGGTTTGAAGTGATGCACAATTTTGCACGAGAGCGAGTCAACTTGGCGACGGAGAAGATGAAGACCCGATACGACACAAGAGCTACTGAACATCAATTCCACGAAGGAGACAAGGTGTGGTTGTGGAATCTGACTCGACGGAAAGGACTTTGTCCGAAATTACAGTCACCTTGGGATGGGCCGTACACAGTCCTAAACAGGCTGAATGACGTCGTGGTTCGGATTCGTAAGTCTTCGAACTCTAAACCTAAAGTCGTTCATTACGACAGGTTAGCTCATTACTATGGCCATAGTACATAATGTAAATAATTGTAAATAGTATAAGACCATGGTCCATTTTGTTTTTAAATGTGTATTTGATTTGTATTTGATAGCATTTGATTTGTTTTTTTTGTATTGCATTTATTGTTCATGTTGTTTTATTATTGTAATGTAATGCTTATTAATGCATTTATGCCACAGTTGTAAGTTTTGCTTCCTGTCCAGGGATTGTACTGCCCGGGACGTGCAGTCCTTGGGAAGGGGGCAGTGTTACGAATTTGGTATTTAAAAAGCTAATGTTAGTCCAATTATAAATTAAATGGTTTTATTTCTCGCGCAGTGCAGCGCGTGACGAATATTAAAAGAAAGCTAAGCCGGAAAATTGAAAATACAAGAGCGCGTGCATTAAATAAATAAATATCTCTTTTTGATTTCGAGAAAGTACTGGAAAATTCTAGCGCGTGATTTTAAAATCTTATAAAAGGAGGAAAAACATCTCAGTTTGTAGTAGTTGCTTAGTTTGTTGTTGTTTAGAAAACTACTGTTGTTGATTGTAGCGAATTCGCGGATTAGCGTTCTTTAGCTGTTTTGAATTACGTTCTATTGGACATTTGAGTAGTTAAAAGAAAACTACTGTGAGATATTGTAATACTGCATGATAATTTGAGAAAATTTAAGCATTTTTGTTGTGATGATAATAAATTTTTGTTCATTTTTCATCGGACTTGTGCATTCATTTCATAACGAACCCGTACGCATGCAACAATATATATGTAATAAGTCATATGCAATTGGCAAATTTTTGTGTTTTCAAATGGTACCATAATTAATTTACCTCTCAGCGCAGCCAACGCGCACTATGCTGATAGACTGGAATTTTCTCAAAACGCACCTGGAAAAGTCAGGGAATTTCATTCTCCTCTTTGAGTGGCAACCCTGTTCTATGTATGTATGTATGTATGTATATATGTCTTCATGTGGTGAAAAAACAGCGCTTTCAATAAGCATATTTCTCCACTTGCACATATGCACCTGAAAGCCGGAATTTTTAATTTTGAGTTTGTTTCATATTTTGTGAGAATTTTATAAACTTTAATGAAAAGCTTGGCGATTTAAAAGCTTTGTGTTACCACTTTGCAGAGCATAAGATATTTACATTTCAAATTTAATTAGGAAACTGAGTGATATAAAAGAAGTGTGTTGTCATTCAGCAAAATGCAATATATTTGTCTTTCAAATTTAATCAGCAAGTTTGGCAATTTAAAAGAAATTTGTTGCCAAATAAAAATATTTTTATCTTCCACAGGGCATGGTGGTGGTCAGGAAAGTGCAAAATATTTTTCGTAAAATTTATTCTATTATAAATAAATAGAAAAGTAATATAAAAGCAATGAACAGATTTATTTCAATTATTATTAAGTATTAGGTCAACCTGTGAAATTACCTTAGCTGGATTCTTTAAAATTATTGTATATATTTTTTCTTTTTATAATATCTGTTTTAGAATAAATAAATATTGTTTCTTTCCTAAAGGATTCATTTAGAATTTATGTGTGGATATATTATAGATACTTTGAACATTAAATCTTGTTATTTTCAGGCCAATTCAACAAGTCCACTTCTTATTGTAAAAAGAGTCCTTTATATGATGTCAGGGTTTGGATTATCTATTAATGGCAAACATACTTTTTGTGGAGATTACATTTACAGTGGCCATACAGTGGTACTGACTATGGCCTATTTAGTAATTAGAGAATGTAAGTATCTTTGAACACACATTTTTAATTCACTGTATATATTATTCATGTGCATAAATGTAAAAAAAAAAAAAAGAAAAAAAAATTCTAGCTGTTTGTTTTCACAGATAGTCCAAGGAGATTTGTAATTTTCCATTGGATAGTATGGCTGTCAAGCTGTACAGGAGTGTTTATGGTGCTCTTATCTCGGGGTCATTATACTGTTGATGTTGTCATAGGCTATTATGTGACAACACGAGTATTTTGGATTTATCACACTATGGCTAATAATGCTGCTCTCAAAGTAAGTCACAGTTATTTATAGTTTCATGTAAAAATCTTTAATTTACATATATTTTATTATTGTTACTTATTAAAGAATTTACATATTGGATCATCTGGAATGCACTTTTTGTTAATGATTACAAATGAAGACAAACATTAAAAAAAATTTGATGAATCGCATAAGCAGCGTTTTATTCTACTACCTTTTGCCATCTCTCTAGTAGCCGGAATAATTCTGTATTTATTTGTTTTAGAAAAGTCGTTAGGTTTATTTGTAAAGATGTTATCAAGATGCTAATCGACAGTTTCCATAGAAATTAATTCCAGGCCATTTAAGGTATTTTAAAGTGACCTGATAAGAGAAAAAAAAATGCAAAGGAGCAAGGTCTGATGAATAAAAAGGAGTGGGAGATACAAAATGTCAATAAATCTGACATTCATCCAAAATGAGACCAAGCATTAACATGATGGAAGACAATACCTAGGCGATTGGTTGGTCACTTCTGGGCACCTAGGCAATAGCTTTTAAAACTGATGTTCAGGAACTGTATTTTTCCATATTTATCGTCTGATTTGATGGCAATAATTCAAAACACACAATTCCTTTGTAATTCCAGCATACACAAAGTATTACTTTTTTTTAAGTACATCCTCCTCTCAATGTTACAAAAGGACATTCTTTTTGCTTATTCCATGATCTTTTTCTTGTAATATTATTGTATAGTATCCACTTCTCATGTCCAGTGTAAAGAGCTTTTTCAAGAAAGGAACTTCTTTATTTCTTTTCAACAAAGAATCACTTGCTGTGACTTCAGAGAATCATGTGCAGAATCACGTGCTGTGCAAGCATATTCTGCTGTGTTAAAGTATGGAGTACCCATACATGGTAGCAACTTACATACCCAGCTGCAGACATGTATATAATAATTTTGACTTCGCTGTATAAAGCATTTATTTCTCAGTAGTTTCACTTATTATATTTTTTAATTTTTTTTCCCTTCAAAATAGAAAAATCTAATAGAAGGGTGAGTGCAAGTTATAGAAACTGAATGGCTCATGTAATGTATGTGGAAAATTGAATTAAAATTTATGGGTAAAAAGGGCAGAATTAAAAGGGTTTTTGTATTTTTATATTTAATCTAAAAGTCTGAATTGCTTTTTTTACATAATAAAAAATAGGGTATAAAAATATAAGTTAAAAATGAAAAAAATTTTGGAACAAAAATTTAAGAAAAGAGAAAAGGTGGAAAATAAAATATTGTTTATATGTGCATTTCTTTGCTGTGTATGATTACTTATATGACTTTTTTTTTTGTATGCTTGTATTGTAATCAATTTTAAAATTATTCAATGTTTATAAAATATTTATAAGCATTTACTTTTTTATTCTTAAAGGTGAATGAACAGGATCTCTTGAACATAGAAATAAATACTCACTCAAAATGTGTTGTAATGATTATAAAATAAATGTTTACGTATTCATCTTGTGTAAATTTACTGCATTTTTTGCTAGCAGCTAATTAATTAAAATTATCATAATACTTATTAAAATTGTCTAATTTTTAAATTTTAGGTACATGGAAAAGATAATTACTTGTCACGTGTTTGGTGGTTTTATGTATTTAATTATTTTGAAAAGAATGTTGGTGGTGTCGTGCCTCGTCAATATGAGTGGCCCCTTTCCTGGCCTCGCAAGTTTTCCCGTCACACGCGAATATCCTAGCACAGTTGAATATGTGGTAAGTATAGAGATCTTAATTTTGAATATAATTTTTAAATATGTATGATATACACTGCCTTCCAAAAGTTAAGGAACAGCACAATTTTGTGTCTAATTTGAGAATGAAGCAACATAAAAACAAGAAATTTACAGGACATGTTCACTAAACAGTTCTTTAATGAAGGCAACATAGAATGCTTCTTAAGTTCAACACAAACATGAATTACAACAAAAAATTGCACTTTTAGCTGAGAAATCCAGTCTTGGGAGAAGCACATCACAGTTTTTTTGATGAAAAATGGGGTGGTAACATTACAAAAATGGATTCATTGGCAGCAATGATGTTCCATGTTGTCAATTAAGTTGTCAGTCAGTGAAATGGGAGGCAACAATCAGACAAGGAGTAATCCTTGTTCAAACTTCATCTAGCAACTGTGGAGAAGACTTAAAGCAGCAACCTCTCTTCCAAGGTCCCAAAGATGCTGTATTGAATTCAGGTCTGGGGCATTGAGCTGGCCATTCCATCTGCTCCATACTGTGACCCTCAAAATATTCTTCAGCAGCCTGAGCTCAGTGCGGTTGCGCATTGTCATCCAACAGAAGAAATCCAGGATCAATAGCAGCGGCGTATTGATCCAAGGATCTCATTTCGATATGTCACACCGGTCAGAGTTTCTTCCATGAAACACATGCAGGTCAGTATGACCACCGAGAAAGATACCAGCTCAAACCATTATTCCACCACAATTTCTACAATGTGGGATTGGTTGTATCTGGTGTGTTGTTCTCTTTAGATCAGCTGATGATCTAAATCATTCTGCAATGTGAACCTGGACTTATCTGTGAAGAGAAAAAGCCATGAGCTGAGGCTTGTTGGGAGTGCTTTTAAAAACAAATGAGAAAATATGAGAGTAGTGTCTCTCATGATCATTATTCATAACGTTTTCAACTGAGCTTTCGTCTGTTTCATAATAGTGCATGATTTGATTCCTGTAAAAAATATCCTGCCAGTTACTAGATTTAAAATAAGTGCCAGGCCTTAGTTTCCAACCCTTGGTTTAGAGAAAATAGAATTTTATTAACGAAGTTAATATTCCCTGAGTCTTAGCCGAGATTAGACTCTCCTTCTAATCTTAACAGTAGTTGATTGCATATATCCATTTTATACAATTTTTCTTAAAACCAGATCTAATTTAACTAAACCTTCAAGATAAGTAATCTGTTTTTAGGAACTGATTTCCCAATCTGTGAATTTTAAAATCTAGCATTGTCCTTTATTTTGATATTTATCTAATTCTGTGGTACTCATTAAAATATTTCATATTAATGTATAATGAATGTACTTATTAATGTTCTGTTTTCAAGTACTTAAATATGTTCCTATTAAAAATTGAAACTTTCTACAGGTTAGCAAGGATGTCGCTGATGTTCTTCACCTAGCCACACTACTCTGACATCATATAAATTACAAGCTATTCTATATTTTGTTTTGTATAGAAAAAGAGATCTGAACTCATCTATAGTGTAAGAAATATATATATATATATATATATATATATATATATATATATATAAAATTTTTAAAACTTTACATAATGGATTATTTGCTGCAGCAAAGGAAGGTGCAAGATTCAAAGAAGGGGAAATTAAAGAATCAATATAGACACTGTCCTCGAATTTTTTTTTTTTTTTTACTGTGTTCTCATAACCTTCATTCCTTTAAATACCTCAAGCTAATTTTTTACAAAGAACTTTTCTTATAGAATATTTTCACTTTTAATTAATTACAAAGTGTCTTAGGTTAAAAGTAATTAATATATATATATATTTGTGTATGTATGAACTAGTACTGTTTTCTCTCATATTTCTGTAAGTACAGTTCTGCTTTTTACACATGTCAACTGGATGAAAATAATTTCAAAGTGTCTGAACTGTGTTTTGTGTTCAGAGAAACCTTGAGTCTGAAAGTGCCATCAACAAAATATCTCTCAGAAGTCAACTTTGTAGACAAAATGAAAAAGTTTCTGCAGTTAAATGTGGTTTTGATGGTTTTACTTTGAGAGACTATGTATTCCCCCAAGTTATTAGTTGCATTTTAGGTAATTATTTATTAAATGCTTTTTACAAATGTTAAAACTTTTAGTATTTATGAATTTGTGTTTTTTGGAAGAAAATATTTATATAGTTCTTCAGAAAGTCAAAAACATGTTACCTTCATATTTATATATAGGAGCTTCTACTTGTCTTGCAGTATTTATTATATCAGAGCATTGAAACTTATCAGTGTACAGGAAAAAAAGTATATGCAGAAAAATAGGTCTTACTTATTGAAATAATGTACCTTTGTAAATGTACTAAATGGAAAATTTCATTTTTGAATGTCAGGATATTTTGTGAATTTTTTGTCTGAATATTTAGATGTATGTTTTTCTCTGTGAACTATGAATCAAATTTTGATGAATAGTTTTAATGTGATGAAAATAAGTTTCTTAAGCACATTCATTTGAAGAAAACCATCATAATTAGTTGAACATGTTGTCTTTTATGGTGTGGAAAATTAATAGAAATTGATAATGAATGGTTCAGTTTTCTGTCTTTAACATGAGCATATCCCGAATAAATTAATTGATAACAGTTAAATACTAGCACTTTTAAATTAATAATGATGTGAATAATAATTTTATTCTGGTGAAAAAACAACAACATTTTCATTTATGAAGGTCCCAATGAAATAACTAGTATATCACTATAACTGAAATACATGATGTTAAAATATAATGATGTAATTTGTATAAACTGCAGAAACCATTTCTATAAAAATAAAACAAAATATTAGCAAAAATAAATGGAAATCGGTGTATGCAAAATGCAACAATATCTGTAGATAAAATTTGTGCATGGAAAAAATTTTAAAAAAAAATAATCCTACTAACTATGCTGTGATTACAGAGTTTGTTTGTTTTTGAGACAATATTAATTTTTTTAATTATAAAAATGAATAATTTAGAAGGAATCTGGTCAGCTATGATTATTATAATGCAAATATATTTATTAAGTAGTATTTCCATCTAGCACATTTTCTAAGTCAAAATATGAAGCATAATTTAGGTTTTAAATTGAAGTAGTTGATAGATGAATCATAAATAAGAGTGCATCCTATACTGTTATCCTGTTAATTTATATTATTTAATACATACATTGTATTATATATACCAATACTTAACATTCATAAAATCAGTCAGAATCTGGTAATGTTTATACTAGGCTATTTTCCAAGATGAGGATTTCTATATAAGTGTACTACATTTTATACTGCATTAGTACAGTGATGCAATATCTATTGTGGGTGTTGGATCTGAAGATGGATCACATATGCTTTTCATTAAAGTCTATGGGCTGTTAAAGTTGTGATTACTGTACAAATTATTTTTTGTGTAGATTCTAATAATACTGAGCTCTCAATTAACTACAGATGATAGCTATGTTAATCCAAAAATAGTTAAAAAGTCATGGAGGGGAAAACATCTGTGTTATAATTAATAGAAAAACAATGTTAACTTGTATTTTTAAGCAGTTTTAGAGATAAGGTTTCATTTGGTTGCTCAAGTAAAATCAGTATACCCCCCTTTTTTTTTAAAGTTTTCGTTTACATTATTCTTGCCTGTTGATAGGAGTCGATTTAAAACATATGTCTGTATCAAGATGTACATTTATTTTTACTATTTAAAAATTTATTTTTAATCCATAATTTAATAGTGTTTATATATCCAGATCATTTTCAAATAAATTGCATTAACTTACCATCATTTGCTATTCCTGTTATTCCCCCTTTTATATTATTTGTAGATAGTTTTCTTTAATGTGGATGGCTTGTGATTGAAATTTTTCCATCACTCTGCAATAAACAAGTGTAACTTTTTTGACAAGGTCTCCTTTATTTGCTTAACCGCAATAAATTTAACTAACTGACATCATGGTAAAATTACTGCCCTCATAGCAACAGTTTTGAAACAAGTTATATATATGTCATCACCCCAAAAGTTGTTATCCAAGATAAAGTAACTAACAATAATAAGCTCCTCACAATATGTATGTTTTTATCACCAGCATATTTCCATTTACTGGTAATGGTATTTCTGAGATATTTTGTGACAGAATGAATTTGGGCAGATTTTTATTATTCACATTTTCCAAGTCCTAGGTCCCTCACAGTAAAGTGTTTGATAATTCAATAATGCAGAAAGCACTCTCTTTGGAATTCCATTTTCTTCTTGCCTGAGTTGTGGCAATTCTTTACAGCACATTATGAAATGTGAGAAATAACATCATAATGATAATTTGTGTATTTTTTCATAGATAACTTATGCTTTCTTCCTTCATTGTCTTTTTAAATATTTCATTGATATCTGTGTAATAACAAGAGAATTGATTTCTTTTACTACATACATTCATAGAAGATATTACACAAATGCATCATTCAGTGTATTGAGAATATTTTTTGTAGTTTATGTATTTCCACTGTAAAAAAAAAATACTTTCTTCTTTAACTCTGCATACTTTGTCTATTGCTTGAAAAATAAGATGATGGAAAAAATATCTTTGTGGGTGTAATTACAATATAATAATTTGCCCACATTGGTTTAGTGCAAAAATATTCTATACATACATATGTATATATAATCATGTTGCTTTTTTAGTGAATTGATATGTGAAATAAGATTTGCAAATTAATAATTACAGAGAAACTAATTCATGTTTAACTTTTTATATTGTGACATAAGCAAGAAATGAAAATTGATATGAATTGCTAAATTTTATGTATTTTGTATAAAATATCCTGTGCATTTATCAGTATTTTGAATAACTATCAATATCCTACCTCTATTTTTGATAATCATGATGTTTTGAAAATTTTATTGGATTTCTTCTTTTAACTTTTACAAAAGAAAAAAATGCCAAGTTGAGGGATTAATGCTTTAATATAAGAAACATTAAAAGAAGAAATGGTAGTTCTTATTATAAACAAAATTATTTTTTAGAAAATTTCCAAATGAAAAGTTTTGTTGTGAAATTGAAATTTATGAATATTTTAAATAGTCAGAAATTCAAGAATTAGTTAAAAAAAATATTTGTATTTGAAAAATTAAGCATATTGACTAGTTTTTCAGTCATTTGTGTGTCACAGTTTCATTGTGGAAGTTTATTCTATTTGCCATTCATTGTGTTCCCTTCATTTAAGTTACTGGAATACTTGAAATACTGATTGATGCACTTGCAATGCGTATGGGCTGAGGAGGAATTTAAAAGATTATTCAAAGTATGTAAAAGCCAAGTTTATTGGTTTCCAAACAAATATTTTGCATTGTATATTTTGATTAAATTGAACATGATATGTATATAAATTGTAAGAATATAGTTTTTTCCATCAGTTAAATCTTTTTTTATTCCAATAAATTTTATAGTTATAAATATGTCTTGTATTTTTTATATTTTAAAATTCCAAAGAGTTTTGTATGTTGACTGTAAATTGCAGTGGTCGTACAACACACCTGCAGCTTACATATTCAAAGTTTTTAATCTTATTTGAATTAATAAAAATTGAATCACGTAATAAGGTTAAAAATTTTAATCTTTATCAAATAAAAAATCATAACACTGAACCATTTATTTCCAACTGAGAGAACTTTTGTTGACAGCTGCAAAATTATCACACCAACTAGATTTGCCTAAAATATGCACTGATCACTTCTTTTGGTTGGGGGAGGGTTTTTTGTGGACTGATTCAGTCAGAAAGCATAATGTAATTTCACCCTTAGCCTGTTATATTACAAGTGTTTAAAGCTTGTTCATTTCTGACAGTATAAACAGTATTTTTGTCTTTTTTTCTCACATGCACTCTGTGCTTCATTACTAGATGATCATCCTCTCCCTTTTCAAAACTCAAAAAGTATGTACACATTTATTTAAATTTAAATTATTTTTTAACGTGTTCTATAAAGTATAGAAAATGTTGATAAAGACCAAAACTTGAATAAGAGCATTTTTTTATATTCCTAAACTAAAACACTGAACAGTTAAATAAAAGATGAAACATTGATATGAAATCCTACTCTCTGGAGGGAGAATAATCTACCTTTTTATAGCTGTTGAGTAATTAGTTTATGAATATGAAAAATTACTACTGTTCGAGTTTTGACATTTATCAACATTTATCATGACATATCAACATTTTTATCAACATTATCCTTTGAATGGCATTTTTTTTTTTTTTTTTTTTTTTTTTTTTTGGTGTGTGTGTGTAAGCAATTTTTTTTATTCTAAAACAGTTGCTTTTTTGTTAAAACATGTTTAGTATAGTTTTCAGGATCCCTCTCTGATAAGTACAAGTTATTTCTGCATATTTTTGTTTTCATATAGGTTTGGTATGTTTTAAGATGGATTATTAGATTTATTTTCTTCCTTGCATGACAAGATAACTTGTACAGTAGTAGTCTGAGAATATACTAGGCAAACAGATTGAAAATGTATCAGTGAGAAATTCACTAATAAGTATATGATCCTTCCCAGAAAGTCCTGTATTAATAGTTTCTATATGATAAATGAATTTTAGAAAACATTGCTATCAGGAGCAAATAAAGAAACCATTCAGATTTTTGGAAATAATCCAAAGCACCTGTGGTTGTAGCACCATACTATCATTTTGATGCCAGGAGTTTAAAATATCAAATGTACAAATCATATAGTGCAAAACATAAAAAAGCATTTAATAGCATTAAAAATTATCATAATTAATTGAAATATAAATTCATAGCAAATTGTTTGAACTCTGTCATTAGCTTGTTGTGAATTCATAATTATTCATCTATTTTTACTGTTCTGCATAAGCTGGGCAGTTTGTCACTTGAATATCATCACCTTTACAAGTTTCCAACTATTTATCAAGATAAAAAGCCTTCACAATAAGGGTGGTACCTTAATGCTATGGCAAATAGTAGTTGACTTTTATGACAGTGCTGGAACTTTTGTTTATGGGAATCAACATTCAGCCCATTAATGCTTAAAATAAGTAAAATTAGATTTGCATATCGTGCATTGATTAGAAATTGAATTGTGAGTCATAGTTTGCCCAGGCTAAGTTTAGCCTTACTAATGCTGCATCTATTTTCTTGAAGCAAGCAGTAACTGGAAAATTTGCAAAATTAAAGCAGGTGAAATTCATAAAAAAGGATTTTATTTGCCCAAAAGGATTTTTTTAAACATTTCATGTGTTACCTTTATTTTTATTAAATATGTTCTTCTCACGTAAGCCACATAAAATTCAATTCAACAGCAATATCACAAAATATTTAAAAACAGCATATCTTAGAATTTCCAATGGACAGTCTCAAGCGCTTGGAGATAATGATTTTTACATACAGTGTTGTCACTGCTTGTTGTGAAATCGTTAAGTTTGTGTTCTTCAACTACTTTAGGATATGCTTTATCTTTGGACTACCCTATAGAATTATGCATTATTCAGCAACTGCTCAGTAAAAATACTTATGAAAGAATAGAATAAGAGAATATCGGTGGTATTTGTAAACATCTATTTGAAAGTAAACAAACTTGCCTGGGTGAAAAGACAGCATGACGATTTATCCAATAACCTGAATTTCTGCTGCAACATATATAGTCCTTGAATTTGGCATGTCATGAATTTACATAGAATATAGAGAATAGTATAAAATGTAATTGTGTTTTGTAACATTTAAATGTTGTTTTACTAGTTTAATACTTTGATTTCTTGGATTAATTTACAAAAATGACAAAAACAACCACTTCTTTGAAAGACTTTGCTTATTTAGAATGTAATTTTACATGAAACTCCATAAACATAAAAGCTTTCAAAACACTGATACAAATAAATGAAAGATGATAATGTATAAAGAGGCTCTACACAGTTTTGATGAGTACAAAGTTAAAACTTGCATTTACATAATTTGTACTAATTTACCATTTGATAAAATAGTTCATTTTGAGTATATCATGCAGTATGTTTACAGAGAATCACTGCATCATAGAAACTAACTTTACATACATTTTTCTCTGCACCTACTTGGTCAATATCACTATGTGTCTATATGTACAAGACTGATTACACACACAAGCAAGCACATTCAAATAGATGTATAAAAGTATCTAACTGGGGTTAAAACATCTTGTTGTGATGAGTCTTAAAAACAGGAATATATAATCATTCCAGCAACAGATGTTTTTGTCCTTAGTGCACTCATTCTTTGGTACAATCTCAGTAGCCTTAATGCTGCCTTTTTGCAGGCAAAGTCTCTCTTGTATAAAAAGAAATTTTGATTTCACTGGCATTTTCTTTCAGCCTAGCAAATTGGGGCTTTGCTGAGAAAATGAGACTTGAAGCGAGTCCTTGATACTTAATATCGCATAAACCCGTAACTTAAAATTTCCTGTTAACTTTCAGGATGGAATTCATACTGCAGATACTTGAGTTTCATCATCTGAAAATAAATTAAATTCTTACTTAATCTTACTGTGAAATAGCTTATTCAGTAATAATTCTTAAAATATTCTTAAATAAGAAATATGCACAAATCCAAAAAGTATTTTGGGAATTACAAAACATACAATCATATTATTTTGAAGTTATACTGATTTATTACTATATGCAACAAAAGGCTGTTACAGACTAGCTGCAATGTACGCATGTCAAAATCAAATCGGTGAGTATATTATAGAATTTCAATCACTTTGGTTATGTCAAGTTGTAGAATTAAGAAGTCTTAAACATTTCTTGATAAATAGAATACATATCAATGAAATTTTTGTCGAATCTTTTATCTCAGCAGGGGTTATGACCTTGAAATGTTCACATACTCAAATGGCAACTTGTAATATTGTTACCAGCATGGTTGCCTGAAAAATGGTTGTGCGCTTCATTATCAGTTTTATCACATTCTGAAAATTTGGCGATTTCTACTAAAGGTGGTTATGATAACATGGAAGTATATTTTTATACATTACCACATAAATAAAATTATAAATAATAAAAATTTAAACTTCAACAGTATCAGTTAATCTGAAAATTATAAAATCTATTAATATTTACATAAATAATTTACACCCCCCATTAGATGCACATATTATGTGGTTTCTGGAAATAACAGTATATATCTGAGGCCTAACATAATCAAAAGTCTAGAAATAACATTTACATTACACTCATTAGAATTAAAATAATTTGAATAGTGAATTCCTTCATAAAATGATGACCATGCTTTAAACTCTCAGAAGAGATTGCTTTTCGACAGATAATATGCTAAGCACACTTTAATATCTCTTGTGGCTGGCATTACTCTAAAGTAATTATCAATTTTTCTCAGAGCTGAAAATGATTTTTCTGCTGATAAAATTGAAGATGGTGATTGAATTGAAGACAATTTGTAAGTTTCACTCACAATGCTAAGATTAATTGTTGATTTTTATATGTTGCACTAGTTCATGTACAGGTTTGTTTTTAACTCTGCAGAAGAATAGAAAGCAATCAGCTCCTTTTTAAGCTTTTTAAGTTGTAAATATGACAAAGAGATTTTTCATATCCTGAGAGGAAAACTGATAATACATTGAAATTACTAAGTCCACATGCTTGTTTTGTCAACACCAAACTGCAGAACAACCTTTCTTTTTCACAACGAGCTAAGATATTTTTCTTGAACAAAGTGGGCTTCAAATTGTTGTTTTTAATCCCACAATTTCCGCCACACTTTTAAATCTGTCACATAAAGTGATTTAAGAAGGGCAAGTTTTTTGGTTCATTTTTTATTTTGAAAAGTTGAAGCTAAATGGTATTTGAATTCCATATTTAAAACACTACTTTATGGGAATTCAAAGAAGCGGAGAAATAAAAAATTAACCAGACTTAAAATTTTCATTATGTTGTGATAATAAACTTAATAAAATAAATAAATAAAGATCAATGTACCTAAAATGACAATCACTCTCTTCTCTCTAGTTGCAAAGCTACCACATACACTCAGTTGAAATTTGTGTCTTCTGATTAATAAAATATTTATCCTTCAGTTTCCTGCCACAACTTCTAAGCTAGGACTGCACACACAGTGTAAGCTGTGGCAAATTTTCCAACCCTGATGATGCCCAGGCAACAGTGTACAAAGTTTTCTTGAAAGGGTATAAAGTCCTCAAGCAAAAAGTTCTCGCACAGCAATTAGCATACATAAATTATTTCGTCACTGATGCGGTGAATTTGGTATTCCATTATTAGTCCAAGCACTTGTTCTATCACTACCAAACAATTTAAAAGATACCACAAGAAAGATCTTTCTTTATCTGCTAGCTGGCTAATTTTCTTAAACAGTATACAGTTAGTCACAAAAGTCTGCATACAGACTAAATTTAAAATTAAAAAAACACTTAAAGCATAGAAAAATGTATTTTAATCATTGCATTTTTTTCTTCTAGTAGCTAAAATTGTAAGCTTAAATAAAAAGTAAATAATATCAGTGTAATACTTTTTACTTTTTTTCAAAAATATATTTTGTCAAAAGAAACTCACAAATTCCCGCCAATAAAGTCTGCGTACACTTTTTCAAAAAAAAAAGCAAAATATAAGTTTTTTACATTACTTCAATACATTATAGGATATCTTTTATTCTTCAAAACAGCTTGCAGACGTCTGGGCATTGACGGAACTAGTTTTTCAGTGTCATGCGACGTAAATTTCGCCCATTCTTCCTGCAATTTGACTAATTAGCTCATTTCGTGACGTAATATTGTGTTTTCGAATTCGTTTCTCCAATTTTGCCCACAAATGTTCGATCGGATTGAGGTCTGGTGACTGGGGAGGAGTACGCAACTGTCTTGGAGTATGATAGAGGAGATATTCCTTCACAATTTTAGCTGTATGTTTCGAGTCGTTGTCTTGTTAGAAAATAAAGGTATTAGAAAGGTTTAAATTTCGAGCACTGTCTCGTAGATTTTTCTTCAGAATATCCAGATAAACATACTTATCCATGACTTTATGAATAATGTGAAAATTTCCAACTCCTTTCGACGACATACACCCCCATACCATCACACCACCAACTCCATGTTTGACAGTTGGATTTAAATTTCTCAGATTCAGTTCTGCTCATGGTTTTCTCCATACAATAGGGTGGCCATTAACTTTAAATATTGTAAATTTACTTTCATCTGACCAAATTACATTGTTCCAGAAGTCCTGCAAAGAGTTTAAATATGTTTTGGCAAAAGCAATTCTTTTCTATTTGTCTCGGAAATGTATGGCATAGACCTAGGTTTGCGTCCATGATAATCGGACCTAATTTCCTTGTTGCTAGTTAAAAAAATGTCTTTTGCAATGCTTGCAGCAGAAAGTTTAGGATTTTGTTTAATTCGTAAAAGAATTTTTCTTTCTTCTCTCTGCATTAGCTTCTTCGTCTCCCACATCTTGGTTTTACAGCAAGACCACCAGTGTCAAGATAGTTTTGAATAACTCTTTGCACACTAGAAAATGGTTTTCCAATGGTTTTACCAATATAACGAAGAGTTTTACCTTCATCTCTCAATTTGATAATTAGTTGTCTCGTAACTAAAGGAATTTCTTTATTAGTTGTCATTGTTTTTTCGTCAAAGAAAATAGAAATAAGCAACTTCCAATCAACGTGTGAAATTTGCTTCGGAGGTCAATGACCTTGAAAGTGTAACCTTCTTTGCATTCTCAAATTGAAGTTTTAAAAGTTAGATAAGAAAATCCTTCGCGTTGTACGCAAACTTTATTGGCTTTGATTTCTGGCCACTTATCTTTTAAAAATTAGTGTGCATAAATTATTAAATATGAAAATATTACAGTTAAATAATTTGAAAGTCCCTTATTGAAACTAAATATTTAAAAAAAAAAACTTTAAGAAACTACCCTTTTCGCACCTTAAAATTTGGATTTGATATTACTTTTCTTGATGTACGCAGACTTTATTGACTAACTGTATGTAGCTTCAGATTTCTAGGAAAAATATTTTCATTTTGTGAAATTTGATAGAACTTTGAAAGAAATAATAACCGAGCTTTAAATTAAATGCAATGAACAACATAAACCTCGAAACAGAAAAATTGCCAGTAGCATACTAAAAAGTTGCTCTAAATTCAATGGCAAAGCATTATTATTCTTTTAATATTTTTTATCCTACACCAGACCTAGGACATGACTGCCATTAGTCTGTGACAAGCAGCCTAATATAATTCAGAAACATTAAAAAATGTACAATAATTTTTGACATCAATGATAAATTATGGAATATTCTCTCCTTGTTAGCTATGTGACAGCATGTTAGAACACAAAATTGATCAAATTCCTTGTACTATCGGTGCAAAGGAAGGGAAGAGGCGTTTGCTATTTCATTTGCTCTTCAGCATGCACAATCCTTTGATGATGAGGGATGGGTAAGACAGCATAGGAAGTGATAGTACATAATTTATTTCATTTTGAATATCCAACTCTTAAATCAGTTATTCAGAGCACAGCTACAGATTAATCACAATAGTTGAAAAGGATTTTATTATAGTATATGTTAAATTAATACTGAATATTCTTCTCAGTTTTAAATGTATAAGGAACGTTTCTGCTTTTTACATTTCTTTGCTATCACGGATAAGATACTGATTATATTTGAGATATCCCAAAATACATTTCTGACACAAATTGGTTTCAACAATTCCAGGTAATTAATAAAATTTATGATTTTTCAAAAATAATTAAGAATTTTTGACATTATGGAAGGCTTTAGAAATTATGCTTCTTGTGCTTACTTCCCATAAAATTTCCACGCATTCACCAAGCTTTATACCTTCTCCAGTGAGAATTCCCCTATTTCTAAACTGGTGTGTATTCACAGTATTTAGAGGAGGTGACTGTGTCTTCCCTACTATCTCTAAACATTTACATCTTCCAGATGTTTGTGCTCCGGGGATTTTGAACTTCGATACCCGGAAATTCCAGGGATCGTCGTTCAAAAGGAAGTAGGAATAATAATAAATTATTTATTTTGATCTGGGTAATTTTGTTTGCTTTGAAAGCAGAAAACGCAAGGTCAGTGTGTGTGGTGAAAACTTTTCCTTTCTTTCTCCAAAGGCAGTGATAATGGGTGAAAAGGGGAAAAAAACTTCTTTTTTGTTCTTTCCTTATTGCGAGTTATGACTCATTTCCCCCGGTTCTCGGACATTCTCTTCTGGATTCTTTTCGGCAAGTAGGCGCGGCAGAAAAAAAAGGGAGAGACTTCGTTCGACCAGATGTGCGATCACGTGACTCTGGGTTCAAAGGTCTTATCTCTCCTGGCGTGGCGCCAATAAGTAGAGAAGGGGGATTTTTCGCCGTATTAGCTATTTGTCATTGATCGCTTCTCAACTTTTTTTCTCCGCTGTGTAAAATTTTCGTTTCATTTATTGATGCACGTGTAAATTTTTCGTTTCGTTTATTGAAATATTTTTTTATTTATGTACGCAAGAGAATTTCACTATGAAATTTCTCGATATAAATAGTGATATTATACAATTAGAAGAAGGTGTCCGGAATGCATTTAGGTGGAAATTGGATTGAAGGGAGAGATGGTAATGGGGATACCATCGGCACATGGTGCAAGAAAATAAATGTTGCTGGACAAGCATATTGTGTTTTTTGTAACTCACTGCTGAAGTATGGTGGGGAAGGATTCAAGGCTTTCACAAATCATTCTAAAACTGTGACGCACATAAAATATTCAAAGTGCATTAGACATTCAATGACTTTAAGTAATTATGCTAATTCAAAAAATACTGATGACTTACTGGAGACTGATGCTCGGCCATTGGATATAGTGACAAGAAAAGCACGCCAAGAGGTATTAATAACTTCGTTTATCGCCGAGAATTCTCTTTCTTTCAATGTAGCTCCCAATTTAATTGAACTCTGCAAACAGTTGAGCCGCGATCAGACGGCACTAAACTCGTTGGAAATGTCCAGGACTACTGCATGTTATAAGATGAAATATGGGCTCGCAAAAACTATTAAGGAAAATATCATTAAAACTTTAAAGGAGACTCCATTTTCTCTAAATTTGGATGAAAGTACTAGCAATGCTCAAGAAAGTATACTGGCAATATTGGTGCAGTTTTATGACAACAATCAAAATGAAGTTGTAGTTCATCATTTTGCATCTCTAAAGATGGAATCTTGCAATTCAGAAGCTGTTTTTAAAGCAGTTGTTAATACTATTGAAGATAATAATATTCCATGGGCAAACTTAATTAGTGTATTAATGGACTCATGTAACACCATGCGTGGAAAAAAAAAGGGTGTTGAAACCAGACTACGATCAAACAAAGCACCCCACTTATTAGATATTGATGGTGACACATGTCACACAGCTAATAACTGTGCAAAAAAATTTGCTTCATGTTTTGATAGATACTTAGAAGATTTGTTTGATGACATCTATTTTGATATGAAAAGCTGCAGTAAAAGAGAAAATTTTTTCAAAATCTGTGAATCCCTTGCCATTAAAAAACTTAAGCCCTTGAAGAGACCAGACCATAGGTGGGTGTACATTTTATGTGTTTTAGAAAGAATCAAAGATCTGTGGGATGCTCTTATTGCATTTTATTTTCACTACTTGGATAAAACTGATAAAGGGGATTATTTTTCTTATGTTGAAACTGTATACAATAAAAGAAATATTTCTGCAGCTCAGAAAAAAATTGTTGAAGGGGTGTATTCTTGCTTGCATTCCCAACAACTCACAAAGGATGCTTTAGCTCGGGAAAAAAAGAATACTAAATGGGTTATTTGTTATGCAAAAACAAAACTTTATTGCATATGGCATTATATTCAGCAGTATTACCAGAGTTCAACACATATATTAAATTATTTGAAACAAAAAAAAAAAACCAATGCTTCATTTAATACATTCCAGTATTTATAAATTGATGGCAAAAAATTTTCTCTTTTTTTATGAAGCCAGAAAATATAGAGTGCACATCTTATAATGATTTATTAAAGGTTGATGTCACAAATCCAGAATTCCATCTACCTAGCAAAGTAATATTTACTGGTGCAGAAGCTTCCACTCTCCTGAAGAAATTATCAAAAAATCATCCAATAGCAAAAGAATTCCAAATTTCTCTGATGAAAGCTTATACTAATACAGCACAGCATATGAAACAGAAATTACCCCTTAAAAATTCATATCTAATTAGCTTTCATTACATCCAGAGCTAAGAGGTAAAACCAGTACAATATTAGCTTTTGAAAAATTATCTTTTATGTCCCATATTTTTAGTGATAATGAAAAGTCAAAAGTAGAAGCTGAAATAAGGTTATACCAGAGTGATATTGATATCACCAAAGAAATGCTCTACACATCTGATGAAAGTGGAAATCAAGTCAAGTGTACAATTGATAAATATTGGTCTAAAGTTTTTAATTTAAAAGATGATTTCACAAATGATTATAAGTATCCTACATTGGCTAAATTGGTCAAAGCCTGCTTTAGCTGCTTCCATGGCCCATTAGTGGAAAGTGCATTCAACTTAATGGATACACTTGTCATTGACTATAGAACCTCTCTTAAGATTGATTTCCTAGATGCAGTGCAGACTATTAAATATGATTTAATGGCTTCTAAAGAAACCTCATGTGAAAAATATGGCTAAAAAAATCCAATGACTGATCCAATTCACAAAGATCTCTTACTGAATATGAACAGAAGTTGGAAAACATATCCAAGAGGACTTAAAAACATGTATTTCAGATGAGTCACCTATAAAAGTCTCTGAAAAAACCTTCTACATTAGCAGAAAAAGCAAACTGCTTCTACCTCTGCATGTGCAGTTCTCGAGGAAATTTCTTCAACTGTAAATGAGGAAAATAAAAGTCAACCTTCTGCAATTATGAAGTTCACCACAAAAGAAAGACAAGCCGCAAACATCAGAAAATAAAAAAAAAAGCAGCAGCAGAAATTAGATAATTTTTTTTTTAAGAATTAATTCAGGTAATTTAAAATATTTACATAAAATGTAGTAGTTTATATGTTTGAAAATTTATGGTTATTAATTTTGCAAAAAAAAGTAATTCATTGAACTTTTATAATTAGGTCATTCAATACTTCATAATTGTAATTTTTCATTTCTCTCCCCCCCTTCTCGAAACTCCAAAATGTCGGTAGCAAGTCCGTAAAAGTTTCAGGGGATTTTTTGGGGGTCCCACAAACCCCTGATCTTCAAAATATCTAAAGAGATTAATTGAGTTAACCAGACCTTGTGCTCATGTCACCAAAGAAAAAATATTACCTCCAACAGACAGGTATGCATAGCCACATTTCATACTGGCCACTCAGCAAACAACCACCTATAATATACAATCCTTGGTGGAAAAAAAAAGGTTATGTCAGTCATACAGTAATATATTGCATGTGCCTCATGATTTTGACCTCTGTATTCCATGGATCTCTTTCTAGGACAAAATATTTCTCCAGTGCTGCAGCTGCTCATGAATAATCACTACTAAACTTTCACACAGCTATTCTCCATCATTTAAAGTTCATACTTGTGACACGATACTCTATGTATGATCTTAAACTCCTCAACCATGCAAACAACATTTGAGCTTTCCAACTGCCAAGTAATTCAACCTCAGGTAAAACTGTCCGGATGTTATTTACGACTGTCATATATATTAGTAATTTGATATTGTTCAGTTGATATGTATTGTATATAAGTTTCTACTGAAATATTGAATGTATGTAATTTCTGCCCTTCTACAGAGGCACAGTATCACACACTACATATCCTACTTTTCTCAAGTTCTAAGCAATACCCTGTTTTGTAATCAAACTGGTTCAGTCAGCTGTCCTTAATTTTTACACGACTTATTTTACTCTGACTTATTTTTAAAAAAGGCTTTTTAAATGATGAAGCATCTGTGGGAATTTAGCTTTACAGCATTAGTGTGATATGTTCAAAGTGTTATACAAGATATATACAATTCAGATAAAAAGAAATAAATATAAAAAGAGGATGAGATGAATTAGTTTTGTATACTTAGGCTGCACTTAAAAGGTATATTCAGACTTATTTTCTAAATGCCTGAATCTCTCTTACCATCATCATCAGGATCTGTGACATCGCCATAATAGTTTGATGTGCCCTCTACACTATGAGCTCTGCCAAGGACTAGCTGCTGTCTACTCCTCGCAGCCATTTGTGCGGCTATAGAATAATCTGGTGGTCGCTGGGATCGAGGATAAGGAGGGGGAGGAGCACTTCTCGGTGGCGGGGGTGGAGGAAGAATATGAGATGGATGTGGCACAACTGTAATGGAAAGAAGAATTCAATTCAAGATGGCATACAAGATTTGAATACTTTATTTATATTCTTCTTTATGTACAGCAATTTTTTCCTTTTTCATAATTGAAAAAATTGCAATTTGAAAAATAAATCAAATCATGTTATTCAAAATGTATTGGTTACTCTCTAATATTTTTAATATTTCATGTATATACAATAATAAATAATTTTGCATGTAATTACTTCCTTGTATGAAATGAAAAGGAAGTATTGTAATCACGAAAAATTTCGGGTATCATATTTCAATGAAAATATCCATTTTGGCCACTATTGAACGCAATTTAATGAAGTTTTTGTGTGACATTTGTACGCAAGGACAGAATAAAGGACTTTTCCCCAAAAAAATTACAAAATTGATTTAAAATGAATTCTAAGAGCATTTCTGTGGCGTCTATATGTACGTACATATGTATGTATCTCGCATAACTCAAAAACAAGTAGCCTCAGAAAGTTGAAATTTTGTATTATAGGACTTCTATAACATGTAGATGTGCACCTCCTATTTTGGTTGCAATCGGCCACACCAAAAGTATATAAATATATGCATATATATCCACTCTGTTACTCGGCTCAATGAGCTCAGTTTCTTTATTTTTATATGTTTGTAAATTGTTTATTTTTTGCTTTAAAAATGATTGAATTATGTCGTTCTTATCTTCCTGTTAAGGTTTTTATGCCTTTAGTTAATCTGCATGTTATAGTTGTAGAATTATCAAGTAGCAAAATTTCTGATGACCGGATAAAGCCGATCATAACACTCAGGTGGTTAAGTACAGATAAAGCCTCTTTTTTTTTTTCCCATAGCAACCACACTTTTTTACATTTGAAACTTAGCAGAATACTGGATTTGTTGCCAATCTAGAGAAACTAAGGTTTTCAACAACAAAGTAACGTCTCTTTTTATTACTGCGAATTAAATTATGCTTAATCCATTCTGGAATTATCATTTAACTTATTAAATTATGCCATATATTGACTCAGCATAGCGTCCACAAAAAATGAAGTCAATTTCTACGCCTTCAGTTTCATTTTGCCGAGTGAGACCAAAAGTAAACTTTCAGTTTTGTGCACCAAAAAATCTGTCTTTTTGCCCACTAGCTGAATTGCTTTTTTTTTTTGCATAGAAAGTGTAATTTTAGTTGTAATTTTTGTACAAATTTTTTAACTGTATTTGCCGTTATCTATACCTTTAAACCCTTCGCGCCGACTGTCACGTCTACGTGCCAGCAACGAACACACTCACTTCCCGGCTGATACGCAGGCGTGCCAGAGCATTTTCCCGTTCAGCCCCGACTGTCACGTATTTGTGCCAGTGTCCTGGAACGCTTTAAAAACTATAATTTCTGCCACAAGATGGCACTGTATGTCCATATGGTTTCAGATACATGTACATTAGACCTTCTACTCGAAATGAGAGAAGCATGACTCACATACACGTGTTTTTGATTATATAAACAAAAGGAGAAATAAATGTTTCCGAATGGCGTGATTTATGACATCTCTTTAAATTCGCACATGGTAGTTGTTTATTGTAAGTAGAGAATTTTTATTTTCGCTAAAGCGTTGGGTATTTCGGTTTGCAGTTCAGTTTTTAGAAAATAATTAGATCTTGTTAGACATGAATTCTTTCTGATTTTACCGTTACAATGTCGAAGCGTCGAAAATGTTTAACAGAGCATGAAATAGCAGAAATGATGCAAAATATTTCAGATATTGATTCTGAAAGATTAACTAAAAAACATTTTCCAAAACTTTGTTCAGAAGAGACTGATAAGAAAATGAGACGACGATGCTTCGTTTGTTCACATTCCCGGAAAAATCCTCCAAAACGGCAAATGAGTTATTACGAGTGCAAGGAATGTAACGTAGGACTGTGTGTAGATCCCTGTTTTCAAATTTTTCATACAAAAAGAGAATTTTAAGTAATATATTTAGTTTTCAGATGTTAAAAGTCATAAAATAATGAGTAATGAAAATAAAATGTGTAAAATATGCATTTAAACAAGAAATAAGGTAATTAAAGTATATATAAAAATATCTATAATGCATAAGCTGTTTAAAATACTCTATAGAGCATTATTAAACAATGCGTTGATACTTCGGAAATTTCATGGATTTAGGCTTAATAGCAAAAAAGCCCCCGGCCCTGGACAGACACTGCCGGCCTCCGCAATAAGCGCGCGTTTGTACTACCCGGTGCGAAGGGGTTAAATTTTTAATGAAGATATTTTGTGTTTTTATTATTTTTGCCTTGCCACAAAGTGAGAACTGAATTAATTGAATAAGAAATACATACACATACATATACATCTTTAATGAAATTTGAGGATATAAGTGTTTCATAGTAGCAGAAAATACTGTCGCCAGTCTGTTTCGGAGAGAGGAGGAAGTTTCCGAGTAGCACATACGCATTAGGTAAGCAGCGCTGAATTGTCTGTGTAAAACTGTTTATTTTTTATTTAATTCCTTTTATACATCGATTTAGATTTATTATACAGTACAAAGTCCGTAATCCGGAATGATCTATAATCTGGACCTCAAAACCACAAACTTACGCATGCGCTTTTAATGCACGCATGCGCGTAAAGCATTTACCCATACGCACTTCTGATAGTGAAGAAAGTGACAGAGAGGTATTTCAATTAACAAGTTAGTCGGTATTCTCGACACAGCAATTGCAGGACTTGAACAGTGGAGTTTGTAACTGAACAAGAAATTATGTCTGTTTACAGAATTAAAGAGAAAGTATTAGCACAAAAAACAAAGCAACTTATATTGAAAGAAAAGTTTAATAAAGTAAACAAATAAATATTAAGCTCTTTTTTTTTTTTTTTTTTTGTAAATTTTGATACCCTTTAGATCATAATTGCTCTTTATTTCATAAATTACAGTTTCATATTTTTAATTGTATAATTTCTGCAGGCCATCTTACCAGATTTAAATTGATGATCTCTAATCCGGAAAATGGTAAATAAATATAGTGAGTTTTAAAAAGCAAATCTATTTTATTGTGGATTATATGCTATCAATGAAGTACATTAAATTCAATTCAATAATTTTAAATGAAATGTAGGGGAAAATGCGTATAATTTAATATTTCGTACAAGGAAGTCACATGGTGCACACATCAGATTCTTTTTAATTACATGCATGCATGATAACATTTAATACAAATAAAATGAGATCTTTTTAATTATACAAACTAATTTTGTATGATAAATACATCATAATTAAAAAACATCTTATTTATAAAACCTGCAATCACTGTTGATAAGAAATACCAACTAAGATACAAATTAAAATGCATTTTTTGATGACTTAACACCTTTTTGTTTGGGGGGGGGTAAAGGGAGTATAAATTACTTAGGTGAAAATTCTTCTGGAATATCAATTGTATCAAAATTGTTAATTAAGAATGCCATACATTAGCAAATTGTAAAGAAATATCATCAGTGAATAGCCAAAGGGGGAAATATCAATTTAAAATTATTCTCATTTATTTATTAACCGATTTCTCAATGCAAACTGAATATGACATAAAAAAAAAAAAAAAAAAAAAAAAAAAAAAAAAAGCACCCCCTCAAATTTTTAAGTTATGTACTTTGATCATTTTTTGTGGTACAGGAATTAAAATTTTTGTGCTTCATTTGTTAAAACAATAACAAAATTTTCCTAAATAAAGTATAGGGACTGAAGGAATGTATAAAAAAAATTCATTTGCAAGATTTTCATGGAGGTCATGCATTATTTGCTATTCCTTTTTAAATAACTAGTCAATTATACTTCAAATACATAGTTACTGACTAAAATGAATGTGACAAATTTCTTTAGTGTCAAACTGATTTTTTACTAAATAAAATAAAGCAGTAATTAAGATAAAACTATATTAATTTTATCTTGCAACACAATTTTATGTTAATTAAAGACCATAACTGGTTACTTTGTAGACAATAAATGATAATTTGGATTCCAAAGAACGAGTTTAAGTTTTGAAATGAATCATAAAAAATTACATTAAATAAAATAATACCTTGGGATCCCGGTATTGTTGGCATGATACTCATGTGGGGAAAGGATCTCATCCGCATAATTGGTGGCGAGTGTGACACTAAACAGTAATGACAAATGCTTTAATGATTACTTATATTGATCATGATTTTCATTCAAAAATACAACACATACTGTTGAATCAAAATTTCAAATAAATGTTCTCCTTTTCAGATGACATCAATTGTATTTAAATATGTGCATACTAATTTAGAAGTCAAACAACAAAAATCAGAGTTATATTTTCAAATTTGCACAGAAAATTTTTGTTTGACTTCTAAATTAATATTTGTTTGGCATGTTATTGTATCTTAATTATATGCATACTGTTTCAAAAAAAATGAGTGAATAAAACTTAAATTTCATATCTTTTACATTTTTACAGCAGCTGAATTCAAATAGCATTTAAGGTTTATCAGGCTTCTCTGACTGAGCATGATTACTATTTTCCAGCTAGGTAGTCCCATTTTGATTAATATCTCTTATCTTGCAAAATCATAAAGCTTCATACATTTGTAACAGCTCATTTAGTATAAATTTTTTAATGACTATTAAATGGCATTAATCAAATAATGAGCTACTAAATAATTAAACAAATTTAGAGATAAATAATTAATCAAAGTTTAGTACTAATGGTTAATGGTGAAGATGGAAATAAAGATTTTTAAACACACATCGGCCATCCAGTCTGAGCATAACTTGGTGCCTGCAAAGAAATTCTCTGCAAGCAGTTCTGCTAACTTTCAACTGAAACCATATAAGCAGATTATCACAGAGAAGCACAGACTATTAGAAGAAATGAAACATATAAATTAGAAGAAAAAAAAAAAAAAAAAAAAGAAGAAGAAAGAAAAAAAAAAAAAAAAAAAATGAAAGCTTTTAGATTTTATATTATGCCCATTGGGGCATTTTTTTAATGCTTTGTGTGTTGCCTTTATTTATTAAATATCATGTTCTTTGCACCTAAACCATAAAATTCAATTCAACAGCAATATCACAAAATAATTTTAAAAGACCATATCTTTAGAATTTTCAATACTCAGTCTCGCATGCTGGAGATAAAAATGTTTTATTTTCGTACAGTGTTGCCATTGCTCGCTTCGAAATCATTGAGTTCGTTAATCAAAATTTATTAAAGTTTTACAAAATATGAAATAGATAATGAAACAAATTCCAAATTAGGGCTTCCAGATGCCCATATTCAGTGGAAGATCACATTATTCAAAATTTCATGGCTCTAGGTACCGTTGCTTTATCACAATGCGAGAAACGTACATACATTTATGCAGATTCTTTATTATGTAGTTTCTTTAAATATAGCATAGAGCAAAAATATTTGGTGGCAACAATCTGAAAAGTGAACCAACATTTATAGTGATTCAATGCAAAATACCAAAAGGAAATTAATAGTCCTTCTGGGCACACTGCCCTTTTGGACTAAAAAATGGATTACATATGAAGTCAAGCTTGCAAATCCTTATTTAGGGCTCAAATAAGTAACTTTAATTCCCATTTAAACAACATAGCATACATTGAAATTGGGTTAGTTGTAAGTTTTTTATGGTATTGGAAACATAGGTTATGCTACTACTATCATAAAAAAATTAGTTAAACTATTGTTTCATTACAAAAATTTTGAAATAAAATTCAGGATGATACAATTTGTGGCTCATATGCATATTCAAAACTGCCAAGAACAAAAATTGACACAAAATATATTTATTCATTAACATACACCAGGTCCATTTAAAAGTCCTTACTTTATTTTCTGAACTGCTCGCCGTAGACATATAACTTCAAGTTACAAAAATGCTTTAAATCACATAAAGATTCATGTTTTGGTATTTTTTAATTTAAAGAAATCAGTTTCGGAAAATAATGAAATCTAACTTTGGGGGTGGGGGCATATACAAATGGAAAAGTGAAATATTTGAAAATGTACACAACTAAAAATAAAATATGAGTTTAGAGAAACGTTTCTGATGTTAAAAGATTCATTGATGAGCCTTTCTACGTAGATTATTTTGAAAAGTGTTCATCAATAGAATCCCTCTCAAAAAGAGCTCTTATTCAGAGAATCTACAAAATTCTTATTCTAGAAAATAATGAAGGCTTCAGTATTCGTTAACAGTGAACTGATAATATTTTTTACATTAATTAAAAATGAAAAATATTTGTACTTAAAGGAATTTGCTATGATTATCACATTATGATTCCTAAGTAAAAAAAAAAAAAAAAAAAAAAAAACTTCATGAGAACATTTATAATATATCTTTACACTTTGAAAGTTTATAAATTACACGTGTGAAAATTCTTTCCGCACACTACTTGTATCAAAAGTGTGAGTTAAAGAATACCATATAATGGAAAGTCATAAATCATTGAATAGCTTTTAAAGGGGAAATATCAACCTCGAATTATTCAATTTATTTATTAACTAACTTCTCAATGTAAACTGAATATGATATCAAAAGTCCAAATTTTTTAATTAAATATTTTTGTAGTTTTTTTTGGTATAGGAATCAAAACATTATTTTGCTTTATTTTTTAAAATAAGCACAAAGTTTTCCTAAATAAAATATAAGAACGCATAAAAAATTAATTTTCATAATTTTTACAAAATTGATTTCTTTAAATTTAAAAATGCCAAAAAACTTGAAAGTATATCTCTGTATTCAGTAGTTGGTTGCATAAATAAAAATTGGCTATAAGGACTTTAGTTGACATGGGGTATACTAAATTTATCTATTTGGACACTAGAAAACTTCTGGTTATTAACATGCACTAAAAAGTGGAGGAATCCCAATATTTTATGTTACACTATTTTTGATTTTAAGGGAATGCTCAAAACATTAAATGCTAAAGTAAACATAAAATATCAATCATGATTACCAATGTGCTGATTTCTTTGCTGTGGGGGAGAATTGGAAGAGCCTAAAGAACTGCTACTGTGGCTGTCCAAGCTCGTAGCATGACCAGAATCTATTTCATAAAGGGGATGGTGATGATAACTGCCTGTGCTGCTACTATCACTTGATGTCACTGAACCTACAAATAAAGCACACAAGAGATTTTTTCATTCCAAAATATACATGGTCCCTTATCATAACATAAAATAAAAATTCATCTGCATATGTAAGAAACATTACAAAATCCAAAAAAGTTACTTTTGATGCTAAAAAACTCCATGCACTTTCCTTTTTTCAGTTGTAGGATTTTAATGCAGTTTTGTACAAAATGTTACTAGCATATTCATTTACAACTATTGAAAATATCACAATGTTCTGACCCATTGGTCAACTCTAACAATGGATTTTATTAATACTTTTGAGAACAACCTTTGTGCATGTTCATCTGACTTTGTCTCTAGATTTTTGGCCTTTTCCAAAAATCAAAGCATACATGCACGAGAAATGTTTCGAAAATCAACACAATTTAAAAGAAATGACTAAACAGTACAAGAACTGGCAAAACTGATTTCTACTGATTTTCAGAACTATTTTTCAAACTGCATAATATACAGGCTACAAAACTGTGTTTAGGCTAATGGTGATTATAGAGAGAGAAAATAGAATTATTTTTTCTTTCTTGTAAAGTGCACAGACTTGGAATTTCCTATACAGTTACAGCCCTTGATTCTACTGATTAATTAAACAAATCATGGAAGAAAACATTTTCATGTTCTGAACACCATGTAATTACAATATTAGGACTCAGTAAACAGATTATTTAAACTACTTAAAATCTGTGTGTGTCTATCTGCTTGTAAACATCATCTTCTCTCGAACTGCTCGCTTCTGCGCTTAGCGAAGCATACCACTGTGGATTCCAAAAATTCCTGGTAAGCCATTCCCATCTTCGTACGACTTAGCCAAGATATAATTCAATGCAAATTTTTCACTTCCTCTGTTGGCTTTTTCCCTATTAAAGGGATTTGGCTATGTGCCAATTTCTTTTTTCACAAATATCTATGGAATGGCACTTAGTTGAATTTTAAGACACATATCCTGATTCCAAAAATTTGTTCGAATCTACTGATACCATTCTCATCTTCGTACAACTTTAATTAGCTGAGATATTAATTAAAAACTCTGAAAAAAGTAATTTGAATGAGACTCAATAGCCATTTTAGGGATTTTTTTCTTAGGTTTTTTCCGTACAGCTTCCCGAAAGATGTAGGGATTTGGCACCGTCCCAATGTCTTAAAACCTATATTAGCAATGAATTGTTCTAGCTTAGAAAATTATTCGTTAATTTTTTCTTTTTTACCAGGTGGCTGCAGTCCTCACCTGGCAGGCTTGCCCACTAGTTTAAATTAATTTCTGACACATTTGATGCCCTATTTAACTTAAATGCTGTGACTAACTGCCCATATATAGTTTGCCTCTTTTTCTTGCATGGTATCATAAGCAATTTTTTCCCCTATCATTGTATATAATATGGCAAATAGAAACTTGCCATTCAAACTAGTTCTGAAAAATGGATTTCTAAAAAACTGCCTGCCACATTTTGAATTCATAGGCATGATACGAGTTTTAAAAAACAATATATATATATATATATACATAAACAGGATGACAACACAACATTTGAGAATTTCATAATTGTAGATCCTAACACTTAGGTCCTTAGTAACTTAGGATTTTCCACATCTATATGCAAAGTGGCATCTGCCTGAGTGAAGTGGTTTGGCATCAGTGCTGATTTATGCATGTACCAGCTCACAGTGTTCAACAACATGCAATTGCAAACAGTATGTGTGAAATTTTTTCTTTTACAAAAGAAGATGAAATGAAGACTGCTGTTAATCTTCAGGAATTCTTTAAAGATGGAACTAAGTAAATCAAAGGCGTATGAATAGTGCTATGTCAAATGAAGACTGCCACAATTTCGATATCCAATGATGAGCAGAAATCAGAAAAACACAGAGAAAATGCAATACACTATTAATGAGAGAAGATCATCGAAAGATTATTCATCAAAATTCTGAAAAAACTTTTTTGGTCCAACAACATAGTACTTGTGTTTCATTGATACTACTCACTAAATCTTCTACTAGCCCAATGTGATGTTTTTTTCTATTTCCACAAAAAAGAAAGATATTGAATGGATTAAAAAAAAACAGAAATTTAAATTAAATTCAATGGGCAGGAACATGGCTATTCAGCATTGGCCACTCCTAAGGGCAGAAGTAGTGGCCATTAACAAGCAGCCACCCTTGCCTCCTATGAAGGGACAGAGAGTTGCAAGCATTCCTTCTCCTGGATTCGAAACCTGGCCCTTCGGTACCGCAGTAGGCTCCCCCAGCCATTAAAATGAGGTGCAAGATAGTATGTTTCTTGCCTTGACTAATATTCTGAAGTTCCATCAGCAACAGGCAACGTGTTGGAAGTTACTGATAGATATCACTGTGAAAAGGACTAAAATATGTTAGTATTAAACTAATATTAAAATCTTTCCAATTGATAAGTGTACTGCTATCCGGACTCATCGAGACTTCAGCGATTCCGGATTTGGGATTTTTCCGGATATTGGATCATCGGTTTAAATCTAGTGATATGGCATGTAGAAATTATAAAATTAAAAATATGAAATCGTGATTTATGAAATAATGAAGTATTTATGATCTAAAGCAGGGATAGGCAAACTTTTTCGGTCGTGAGGCAAAAATCAAAAAAAAAAAAAAAAAAAAGTTTGGCAGGCCAAGATAAGTTTTTCTAAAAATTTAAAAACAAAAATACAAGTATTACAATTTAAATATGTAAAAAACAAGTATTACAATTTAAACACGAGATGAATAAAATTGCAATTTCATTCAAGTTCCTTATATTGAGGTTCGAAGTGAGTTGTACTGATTCTAAGGAATGATGCTAAATGCTCATCTGTCAGTCTACTAATAAAATAATTCTTTCTAAGGTTCATAGTTGAAAACACTTATTCATATAAATAAGATGAAGCAAACATAGCACTGATTTTCTGGGTGTGAGATATTAAATTTGGGAAACTTACTTTCGACAATGATTTGTAAAACTCTAACTTTGGCATATTTAGAAACAACTGCTTGAGATGATTGTTAGATTGCAACTCAATTAATTCACGTTGCAAATCTGACCTCACTGCTTCAAAATTTACGTTGAAATGCATGGTAAAAATATCCAGTTTTGTTTGAATGACACTAAAATCTTGAAGTCTGCATTCGAACTCAAAATGCAGTTTTTAAGCCAATCTTCATAATTCTTAAGCTTCTCTTCATTTACTGAGGGTATTGAATTTAACATCGGTAAATAAGACAAGTCATTCTCAGCTAGCTGCCCAGCAAACAGATTAAGTTTTAGTTTAAAAGCTTTGAGATGGGCCCAGATATTGTCGATAAATTGATTTTTCCCTTGCATCTTGACATTCAAGTTGCTCATATGACAAAGAAGATCTGTGAAAAATGCAAAATCCGAAAGCCATTCTGTGTCTTCTAACATTTGGCACTCTGCAGAACACTGTTTCTCATGGAAGAACTATACAATGTCATCTTTCAGCTGCCAAATTCATTCAAAAACACATCCTCCACTAAGCACCTTACTTTCGTGTAACACAGTACATCAGAGTATTCAGATGGCACAGATTGAAGAAATTCTCGAAATTGCCTGTAAGCCCACGAGATTGAATAGAATTTACAAGCTTCACGACTGCATCAAACATGGGCTTCATACTCAATGCAGATTTGCGCAGAGTATCTTGATGTGTAACACAATGTACAAAAGCAACATTATTCCCGGGATAGTTTTGACTAGAGAAATCCAGATATTTTTCCAGTCATATTTGGTGCTCCATCGATCGTAATATTACATATATTTGTTATAGGCACTTTCAATGTTAAAAGCCCTTCCTGAAATTCACGAAAAATGTCATATCCCACTGTAAGTTCCCTTTAAAGTACGCTTGCACGCCCGTTCCTCGGTAATATCAAAGTTCTCACCAACACCTCTTATAAATAATATAATACTAATTGAGCAGTATTATTTCTTTCAGTGCTTTCATCCACAGCTATGGGGCAAAATTTAAACTGGCAAATTTTTGACTCGAATTTTGATGTCAAATTTTTATCGATGGCTTCGATTCTAGAAGTCACTGTTTTTCGAGATAAGCTTACAGTCTCAAAATTATTTTTCTTGTCTGGAAATAAAACATCACAAACTTGGAGCATGCATTGTTTAACGAACTCTCTATCGATGAGAGCTTTATTATTTTTAGCAATACTGTATGTTACAATGTAACTGGCATGTGTAGCTGCTTCTTGGGTACTGTTTATCTTCTTGAAAAAATTTTGGCGGCCTGATAATTTTTCATAAACACTTTCTGCATTTTGTTTTCTTTCATATTCGAACATTGCTTCGTAATTCGAATTCTTATGCTTAGATGTGAAATGATGAGAAGTATTATATACATTCTTTGAAGACTACTACAGCTTCACTGCAGATGAGACACACTGGTTTATCGTTTACAACTGTAAAAAATATTTCCAGGTCCATTCATCATTAAAACCATGGCACTCTGAATCAACTTTACGTCTTTTAGTAGCCGTTTTGTGGTTGAAATATTTTACGAATAACCCAAACAAGCACTAGCTATGCCATCCTTTAATAATTTTACCACTAATCACAATGATGCTATATGTCCGCAATCTATCCATAAAAAATAAATAATATTAGAAGTCGCGCTGAAAGAAAAAGCCGCTGGTTGGAGCTTAAAACGCACAATCTGTCTTATATATGGTCTAATTCACCTATATTGGATTCCCATATGTTTGCTACCCAAGAAAGAGATAAGACTTGTTGGGCGCCAATCTACAGCTATAACTAATAAAGAACTTCTGCTTTTAACACTTATCGATTGAAAGCTGTCTGTTCTTGCTATTTTTGTGATTTATGTTTTATAGAACAAAAATAGAGAAAGTAAAAAGATCATCAGTCCTTTGAAAAAAAGGAAGAAATATTTAAAGAAAAGGAGATGGATATATAATATATAAATACAGTACAAAGTCCGTAATCTGGACTCGTCGGGACTTCGGCGATTCCGTATTAGGGGTTTTTCCAGATTATAGATCATCAATTTAAATCTGGTAAGATGGCATGCAGAAATTATACAATTACAAATATGAAACCGTAATTTATGAAATAAAGAGCAATTATGATCTAAAGGGTATCAAAATTTACAAAAAAAAAAAAAAACTTAATATTTATTTGTTTACATTATTAAACTTTTTTTTCAATGTAAGTTGTTTAAGTTGCTTCTTTTTTGTGCTAATAATACTTTCTCTTTAATTCTATAAACAGACATAATTTCTTGTTCAGTTACAAAGTTCCACTGTTCAAGTCCTGTAATTGCTGTGTCGAGAATACCAACTAACTTGTCAATCGAAATTTTTTCGTTTTCAATAACGTTCTCTGTTACTTTCTTCAACATCAGAAGCACGCATGGGATTACGGACTTTGTACTGTATTTATATATTATATATCCATCTCCCTTTCTACTTTCTTTAAATATTATTTTTCTTCCTTTTTTTTCAAAGGACTGATGATCTTTATTGGCTTTACGCGCATGTGTAAGTTTGTGGTTTTGAGGTCTGGATTATAGATCATTCTGGATAATGGACGTCCGGATTACAGACTTTGTACTGTATATATTTCTTTTAATTTGCCTCCATCCGCGGGCCATAGTTTGCCCATTCCTGATCTAAAGGTGTCAAAATTCGCGAAGAAAAGGCTCCATATTTATTTGTTCACCTTATTAAACATTTCTTTCAATGTAAGTTGTTTAAGTTACTTAATTTTTTGTGCTAATACTTTTTTTTTAATTCTGTAGAGAGACATAATCTCTTGTTCACTTACATTATTGAAGTCCTTGTCAATCGAAATTTTTTCATTTTCAGTAACTTCTCTGTTACTTTCTTCATTATCGGTAGCAGTATTTTCTGGATCTAGAACCATACTACAGATTTCGCCATTCATTAATTGACTGATGATTGAGAAGCATTGTCATCACAATGAAATCATCTTCTCTCCGCGTTTCTTTACAAAATCCGTTAATTGTAAAATTTCACCTTTGTTTTGCGATATTCGAATACCTTTAAAATTAGCAGCTATCATTATCAAATTTAGCTATCGTTCACTATACATATTTGGCTATGCATCATGAGCTTGGCGACTAATAGCAAGTTCTTTCGTTAAATTTCATCTTGCTCCTATAGCGCACTGTGATAATTAAGCCTGAATTGCATTAGTTTAGTTATTTATTATACTTATGTCTATTTCTTGCCCACACTTAAGGCTTATCAGAGTTCTGAATAAATAAATTCTCACATATACTTAAGCCTCATTCAGGGCCACCACTAGATATCTTACTACCTGATGCAGTCTCTGTGGGTCCTAAATTTTCGACCTGGTGTGGCCATATGAACCTTGGTTCTGGTTCTGGGTTTATATGAATAACAAATCAGTTATTCTTAATTCAAATAGTCCTAAATGTAATCTTTGGGGTCTATGAGTATCATCAACAAAATATATTTTTACCATATGGAAAGAAATTTTTGTTAAATTTTTCCTCGTCAACATTTTTTAGCACATTTAACTTAAACCTGTTATCATCGCCAAGCATAATGTCAACACAAAAGGTTACCATACTCATTTATTATTCAATTACTAACATAAAAAAAAATTGTTTAGGCATCGCTACACGAGTTATTACTCAAGTTGTCATGTGTTGATAAACATGTGGTGATGAAAGTAAAGTATAATAAATAATGATTCACCAGTTTGGCGTTAGATTAACGTGTGTGTGTGATTATGGCAAAGCCTTGAGGGCTATCTGCCTAAGGGGAGGGATGCCTTCAGGGAGGACTTTCTAAGGGAAACTGGCTCGTATACACGTTACACATGGGGAAAACCACGAAAACGCCCATGAGCCAGCCTGTTCGCGGGATTCGAACCTCGGACCAAACTACCAGTGTTCAGCGACTTTACCGCTCGGCCGCTGGTGGGCCCCCATTAGATTAACGATGTATCTATGTGGAATGTTTTGGTTCGAGATGTGTGCCAAAGCAGATACACAGCAACAGAGCCAAATTACTAATCGTACAAATTTATGCTAAAATGATTGTTTCTTCAATAACAAGATATTTTATTTAGTGTCAAAAAAATTAAGAATCGGGACTCTCCAGATGTGTTATTAAGTGTGGAGGGGAGACTCAAATGTGCATGCTTAAAGCCTACGAAAAAAACGTTGTTGGTTTTTTTAAGGTCTAGATTTTAGATCATTCTGGATATTGGATGTCCAGACTTCGGACTTTGTACTGTATTTAAAACAATGCGATAACCTTTCAGTACCCCCTTATACACAAGAAAAATTATATTTTTTGGTCCTTGTTGAGTCGAACAAAATTTTGAAATTTAGCAGAATGTTCAACATTCGAAACTTGTTCTAACTGTAAAAGGAATAAAGCAACCTATTTAATGATAACACATCAGTGCATTTTCTATATAACTTACCCGAAGTCTGCGACTTCCTCAATGGCAGGTTGCTAAGTGCAGTGACGCTCGAGCTCTCAGCACTCAAATCCACAGGTAGAACTGAAGGGTTTGCTGTATCACTATGTGATCGGCCATGACCCTGTCGTCCATCATGCTTTCTTCGAATGGCATTCGGAGATGGAGATGGGGATAGGGAATGATGATGGCGCGGGGGTTGATGAGGACGTACTTTGCTCTGATCCGAAAGTGCTAGCAACTTTCGAACAGCTTGGGGAGAGTCTGCACCTGTAATGCATGAATTTGCTCTCTTACTTTCTGTTGGTTTTTAGCACATTTTATGAATAAATATTTGTGAATTTATTAACTACACCAGTAAATTCCATGTCTAATTTCCAATATTATTTTCTTTCCATTTCATTTCTTCGTTGGTAGTTGAGAACTCGAAACCCATTTTCATAGATATGCAAAAGAGGTAAATTATCACTCAATAACTAAAACAGCTCAATCTTTAGAACTTGATTGTGAAATTGAGAATTTTTTTTTTTCCATTACACTAATCAAATACAATAACAGCTAAACACATTTTTATTTAAAATAAATAAATATGCAATTAAGAGAAGAAAAATAGGTTATTTCCCACAACAAAATACATTAAACCACAAAGTCAGTTCCATCTATTCCTTAAAAACATTTTGCCATGCTATTTTTCAGCCACATTTCTTAATTGTTTAATTTATTTACTTCCTGTTCCTCAAAGAGAAATGTCATCTTGACAGGTTCAAAAAAAGCATCCCTCTTCTTGCATTTTGATATTGCATCATGTGATAGAAAATATATTTGCTTTCTAAAATTCGAAATTTTTAAGATGGCATCTTTACATATTCTAATTTTTTTATTTCAATCACATGAATTTTTAGAAATGATGTAAAAAAAATTTACTGCTAAAAGTGCCATTATTTTTTCCAATTTTCTTAAATTCTTACAAAAGTCTGTCGCTACTTAAAAGAAAATTACAAAAGGAAAGTTAATAACCTATGGGATAATCACCTGAAAACTATTATATTTCTTAACATAATCTTCATAAATTATTTATAAATACTTGTCCATCATTTTTTTATCAGTGCTCCAATTCCAGCTACATAAAATCCCTGGGTTTGAAATCGCAGCCATTCATCTTCATCATCACGTGTAAAGTCTTTGCCTCTAAGATGGTTATTATTAGACTAATAGGTACTGTTACTGTTAGTGTACAGCACATTTCTCATATCAAGTCCTCCACTCTCTGAGCTACTGAGTCTGTCTCAATCTGAATAGAAGTCTACTTTGGTTTTTGTCACAAACTTTGGAGCAGTCTTCAGAAAATTTCTCCACCCACTTGTGCATTATGTGACAAACACTTCTTTCCATAAAGAGGAAATACACCTTTATGAATATGTTTCGCACAAATTCCTATTGACCTCCTCCCCCCCCCAATGGATAAAAGCATGGTGCTTCTCTCTTGTACAGCCATTGAGTTCCAGTGACATTTTGAAATTGAACTATGTGTGTGCAACTGGCACTTGGAACTAACTAATGAAATAAATCATTCTGCTACCTATTAGCATACATGGAAAGTACTAACTGCTATTCTCAAATACATCATGCCAATTTGTGACTTGCTCAATGACTTTCTCTTGGACTTTTATTCAAATTAGAAAAAATAAATAAATAACATTCCAGCTTCCATCCACTGCAAGCAGCGGATGCTGGTCAAAGAAATTCTGTTCGCATGAAAATATCCTGTGGCATATTATTCTGACAGTTGGTCATTTCACACAATTAAGTTAAAAGGCTGATTAACATCTCAGAACAACAGATATTTCATTTAACTAATATTCAAAACAAGAAATTCCCCATTTTACCTATTTTCGATAGCGTAAAGCCCTTTTTTAAGAACGAAAATTTACCATACTGCAGAATTCTTGTTTCCAATAATTCTAAGATGCATACCTAATAATATTCATGTAACTAACTGTACTTTCCATAAAAGTAAATCAGGTACCGTACCAAATTTGGGACCAGCACTAAGTGATTTTTTCCCTTCAGATGTACTGCTGTTACTACTTGTGGTGGATAACGTAGGAGATGGATGCCTTTTCCTCGGCTGCTGGACTTGAGGAGCAACAGGTATGACTAATGGTACAGAACTTGTTGTGGGTTCGCATTCCAAAGACATTGTCCTCAGCTTCTCTTCGTCCGAAATTACTTTCAGATTGGAAAGATATGTTTTGACTCGGCGAACCATCTGGGCCTTTAAAAAAAAAATCAGAGGCATGAAAATCGTAATTCATTTTACATCATTTCCAATTTTAAGAGCACTTAAAAATCAGCAAGAAAAGCAATCTCTTTTAAAAGAAAGTCTTATTTTTTTAAACTTTAGACTCCTTAATGCATCCAAGTCCCCTTTCTTAAATAATTTTAATTACGTAAAAGAGTATTTCCTTTTTTCTTTTTCTGAAAGATTTGAAAGATATGTTTTTTAGTCTTATATACCTGGGCCTTGAGTGGCTACCATGCACGTCAGCAAGCGGTGGATAGCAGGATGTCCTGTATTATCTGACAGGATAGCTTCGAATAATAAATACGAAGCCACGAACCCCCTCCTGTAACCCTGATTTTATACAACCCATGCCTAGGGTGAATGATACTGTGGTTATATTGTTTTAACGAAGCCTCTAGAGTGCCTGGCAACTTCTAGAGTATTTTGCCTTACCCAGCAACAGGCAATACTGGGTGGACCTTTTTTATCCTCTACTTTCTTTTCTAGTTTATATATGGATGAAAATGACAATATAACTAAACATTCTGCTTTTACAGGCAAAACCTTTGAAGTAGACTTTCATCATGGGGCACAACTTTTTTAGAAAGCACCTTCATACTATGGGGCTCTCCCAATAAGACACTATATGCAGGAAATGCTGTAAGAACAAGGAAACAGCATGCCATATTACTACACAAGTGCATATTATATATACCCTTGTCCTCCCTTGCTTGACTACTTTAGGTATTCTCAATACTAAAGATTTACAGCTGAGCTATATTGAGGGACTGTCAGACTTTATAAACAAAGTGGGTGACCCAAACAGATGGAGCTAGGAAGCATTGAGTTTGGTGAATTTGGCACAAAATGCTATTTAGCAGAAGTGCCTGACAAACTCAACCTGAAGAAGAAGTCTTATATATAAAAACACATTACTTGTCAAGGCTTATTATTGTTTTCATTTATACGAGGTATTGCAAATCCTCTCTCAGAAAATATGTTTAATTACATTACAGGCATATTTACTTTCCTAATATGTGTTTTGTGTCTTTTTCACATAAAACCATACATTACATAACTTATCCTGCTCTAATTTTAAAAGTAAGCTTTTATTTGTTTTATGTACCTTTAAGTTAACAAGTTATGTAACTTTTACATGCTTTTTAACAAATGTCAGCCTTTAGGACTAGCTTTTGATCACGCAAAATAGGCTTGGCATTTAATGTGTTAAGATGTACATAGATTGTTATCTGAACATTTTAGCAGCTAAAATATACTTCTATGCTTCAAAGATAAGAGTTTTATATTAAAACAATATCCAGTTTCTATCTTTAACCCCCTATCAGTCAGTGAGCAACCAGCAGATGAAGCAGAGACATAATTAATTGAGATGCTATGGCAGCATGTATTTTCCTGTTATTCCTATTAATTTTCTCAAGTATGATATTTATAAAGTCAACAAGAAAAGATAGGAAACATGCATTAGAATTGTTTTAAAAATATCCTGAAGTGTATTCTTTTTGTGCTTTTTTTATTAGAAACACAGCAATAATATAGCTTGCTTATACAGCTTAAAATACATAGGGCCATATTCCCTGAATATGAATTTTAAAAAAAAATCATTTTTTGAAATCTAGATTTCCAATTACCTCTTCAAACATTTTTTTAGGATTGGGCTGTGCAGTACTCTTCTTCCTCTTTTTCACAGTTGCAGCATTCGTTGTGGTGACAAAGCTGTTAAGGGAAGCCATAGCAGCAGTTGGATGAGCTCCTCCAATTTCCAACATGTTAAATAAATCCTACATGAGAAGTAGAAATAATTACATTATGTGCATTTATTTCACGAAAGGAAATATAGATATGCATACAATACTTTATCTTATTACCATAAAAAGGCAAAAAAATATATATAATTAAAAGTGATATCATGTAAAAAGAAAATTTGAATGGTTTCAGGTTTTAGTGATGTTCTAAAAGGGTTCTTGTAAAGTTCAATAAAGTTTATCAATAAAGATTACTGATAAAAATGGCCCAGGTGAAATAGTAAAACATTTTATATGATATTAGATTAATATGCATTTAGACTAACATGGGAACATTATATATCTTTTGCGTATTTAAAAGGTGAAAAATATGTGATGCAATTCTATAAAAATATTTAATGCATTTAATTAGATACATTATGAATTAAATCAGGGTTCGTACACATTTCTGCACATGGAAATTAAATAATTTTAAGGACCCATTAATGAAAAAAATGACCTATTAGCAAATGGGAACTGAATAAATTCAATTGAAGATATGCCTGAATTTCCCTTTTGCAATACCATCCTAAAAATAAAATAGATCCCTAAGTAGTACGCATTATTACTAAACATGAATTAATTAACATAATTGTTAATAAGTTTGAAAATAAAATAAACTTATGCAATTTATCAAGTTGCATTAAATATTTTACACTTATAATTGTTGGTCATATTTGAAAGAAGATAAGTGACATTTACATTTTACTAACAGTTAGCTTTATGTTGATTTTTTTTTATGTCTCATTTTGTCACATACTTGGTCAGTCTAGAGGTTTAGTAAATAAGCAGGCAGATTTTATGTCAAACTGAATAGGTTAAAATGAGAAGTAAGATCATAATCAGCATGATTCATAACCAAAAGACTGAATGTTGTCACCGCTGCCGCTTGTCTAGAAAGAGACCTGCTGATTAGAACAAACCTGAAAGGCCTGATGTAGGCAAGATTGGCATGTGTTGAAAGTTAGTCAGGCTCTGTTTGATGCAGTTAGTGCCGTAGCTTCGTGTACATATCCAGGGATTGTAACCCAGTTAATATACTTTAAGATTCTAATAAGCTATTAAAGCACCAGAGGTGATAAGTTGTTTTGTATTATTTTAAGTTATTAGTCAAAGTGTAAGTTTTGCAAAATTTTTACATTTTTGTGTTTTTTCTTGTGACCAGTGATCAGACTTGTGATCAGTAGAATAATGTAAATTCAATAACTTCCTTTAATATGCAGAGATAATTTTTAAGGGTAAGCAGTTAGTTATAAAAAATTAAATTAGGTAGTTTGATAACCTTTAGTCATTATGGATTTACATGGACCACTATTAAATTTTATTTTTTAACAATATTTGTTAAAAAAGCCCTATTAAAATCAAAATCTAATAAAATTTCACAGTTTAAAGTAGATGTAATTTATGACACAGATTCTTAAACAATATTAATTATGCATTAAAACCTACAGAGCATTTATGTTTTGTAACAGTGAACAAAATATTTATCCGTCATTTTAATTCGAAACCTTCCCCGACATTTTGGCTAGTTTATATCGATTTCCTTCTCTTTAAGCATCTTTTCTAACAATTAGAGATTTGTCTCAATATGCAAATCAATGCTCTCACTAGTTTCTGCGTCTTTATCTCCTAACTTGTCAACCTCTCCACAATCTATCTTTGAGGGTTTAATTGATCTGGTAAAAGTTAAATGTTCCAAAACTCCCGACAGGCGTGAAGCATATTATTGCTATGTCTGAATTGGGTTATTCAATTATGGCAAAGCACACGAGGGCTATTTGTCTAAAGGTAGGGATGCCTTCGTGGAGGACTTTCTAAGGGAAACTGGCTCGTATACACGTCACACATGGGGAAAACCATGAAAACGCCCATGCAGCCAGCCTGTTCGCGGGATTCGAAGCTCAGACCGAACTACCAGTGTTCAACGTCTTTACCGCTCGGCCTTTGGTGTGCCTTGCTATGTCTGAAATTAACTATAATATCAGACAAAGGTTTAAAAAAGCCTCTTATTTAAAAAGATCTTAGAACATAAAGGCATGTTCTGATGCTAACAAAATCAATTAAAGCTCACGGTGATGTAATTAAACAAGAACAGTCAAATTGGAACTAATAATGTGGACTTGTGGTCAAAGATTATACAATTTAATTTTAATTTAATCTGGCTCAATAACTCTTATCATATGAGGAAATAGAAATTGGGAATTAAAGTAAAGGTTGAAATCATAAACAAGTGGGTAATTTACATAATAACAACTGCAGATATCTTTCAAGAATAATTTCCTTTATGTATTCAGTTTCTTTCTTCAACACGTTTCCTTTTCATTTTAGAATTTTTGGATTTAATTAAGGATTTCCGATATTCTAAAAAACACTAAATGCATTTAGAATGTAGAGGAAAAGCAGTTAATTTTATTTCTTTAGTAATATGAACATTCGGAAGCAATATGAAATATATATAGTAAAGGCCAGTTAGGGCTGGTGTGGCAGAATTTCTAGAATTTAGTGACACACCGAGCAACAAAATCTAGAAATGGCAAAACTTTTAGAATTTAGAGCAGGCATTGGAAGCAGAATTTAGAAAGGCACTAGGCAGCAGAATTTAGAATCCACAGAGATTGCATCAGGTGGGAAAATCAGAATTTAGAAAGGCACTAGGCAGCAGAATTTAGAATCCACAGAGATTGCATCAGGTGGGAAAATGCCTAGTAAGAATGTAAAGTTGAATTATGTTTAGAGCCATGCTCCAAAATTTGCCACACTAAAAATTTTTTTATATAATAATAAGTAATAGTATTAGCTGTACAAATTTAGTAAGCATGTATATTTATCAAACTGAGCCTGTATTTTTATATTTTTGTTCCATGCATGCTAAAATTGTGTGAGCCGTATTGTATGTTTTTTAAAAATTAAGAAACTATTATAATTCCTGCATTATATTGAATGAAAAGTGGAAGAACGCAAAATTGTGTTTCAATACTAATAGCCCTTTTGAGATAATAAATATCAAATTCTTTGCAAAGATTTAAAAAGGGGGGAAAGAACATAATCATCAGCATAAATGTATGTATGTTTCTCACATTGTGATAAAACAATGGTACCTAGAGCCATCAAATTTTGAATAATGTAATCCTCCACCAAATACGGGCATCTAGAAGCCCTAATTTGGAATTTGTTTTATAATCTATTTTATATTTTGTCAGACATTAAAGAATTTTTGATTAACAAACTCAACGATTTCAAAGCGAGAAATGGCAATACTGTACAGGGAAAAAACATTTTTATCTCCAGCGTGCGAGACTGAGTATCAGAAATTCTAAAGATATGGTCTTTTAAAATTACTTTGTGATATTGCTGTTGAACTGAATTTTATGATTTATGTGCCAAGAACATGATATTTAATTAATAAAGGCAACACATACAACGTTAAAAGCACGCCCCTTTGGGCATTATGTAAAATCTGATAGCTTTCAGGGTTTTTTCTGGGGGAGGGGGGCTAATTTTAAACTTACAGCAAATGTTTATAAGAATTATATATATATATATATATAATATATCATATTTTGTGAAAATTTAATGAATTATTTATTAACAAGCTCAGTAATTTAAAGCACTGTGTTGCCATTTGATAAACCACATGACACTAGTCTTTCAAATTTAACCACTGGACTCAGCAATTTAAAAGAAATGTGTTGTCTACCACATTTGCCTTTAAAACTGAATCAACAAACGAAAAGTACTGCCACTGCTTGAAATGAAATAGGTAAGCATGTAGTATGTGATCTACCACTTTCAGTTATTCATTTCTTAGATTTTCTCACTAAAAAGCTTTTCTTAAATTCAAACCCGAAATTTAATGGTCAGAACAAGGAATTAAAACAACAACAATTTTAGTGCAGCTGTCTAAAAATACTAATAACTAATAAAGTGGTAGATCACATACTACAAGTTTAGAATATATTCTCAGCTTCCACTTGCTAGTGTTTTAACATACAGAAAAGCATAAGATATTTAATTTTTCTTTCAAATGTAACCTGTCTCTTATTAGTTAACAAACTAAATGATTTAAAAGCAATAAATACAGTTCTTCGTGGTTTTCATTAATAAGCATAATAGCTAGATTTGCCGTTAACCAGTGTAGTGGTTAGCATCGCTGACTGCCATGCCGAAGGGCCCGGGTTTGAAGGCATGGATGTTTGCAAATGTATAGAGTCAGTGAGGCATGGCGTCACTCTAAATATGTGGCGAGCCGAAAGTCCTTTCGCCTGGTTTGGTGGAAGGGGAAAGAGTGGGAATCCCTTAGACCTGTTTCCCTGGTCTATCAAAATTGGGTGCAGATATGAGCCAAATTGCACTGTCACCTGTAAGGTGCTCAGTGATGTTGCCAACTAAACAAAATATATGTAAGTCTCTAATAATCTGACTGGATCGAATGTAAAGTAATAAACAGAGAGCATTATTCCATACAACGTTTATTGGCGAACACCAAAGACGAACTGATACATATAAATAATTATGACATCACAGTTTCTTTTTACAAACACTACCGCCATCTATTGGCAATCTAAGAATACATAGTCACAAACTTAACACCAACGACAGGTGTGTTTGTACGCTCCTTGCCACGAGGAATTTTGTGGGCTTGGGCTGACTAAATCAGACAAGTGAGCATAAACAACAACAACATAGTTAGCTTTCTTAGAATCATTATATTTTCTCTCTTTTTTTATTATTATCACAATTTTAGGCAGCTAGAATTATTAAATAAAAATGTAAATTTTTAAGTAGAGTGCTGTTTGTAGCATTTTTGTCAATGTAACTGCTTAGCCAGATTACTATATTTAAAAGCTTAATATCTATACAAATATGCTTTGCTGAGTGGTAGCACAGTAAGAATTGGCTGTTTATGCCGCATAAATTTAACCCTTTAACTGTTAGACCCAGATTTTCTTGTTCTTTTAGGCAAGCTCCTTAACGGTTTCTCCCGTAATATTGTCATT